AGGAGATAGTCTTGTCTCCAATGACATAAGAAAAAGCAATCCCATATATATATATATATATATATATAGGGTCAGGATCATTTTACACCAGTGTAAGTTACACTCTCAATCTTATCCGTTGATCCCATTTATATCTAAGGGCTCAAATTTTTTAGTAATGTGAGCCATTGGATACAAGTGGATCAATGATCAAGATTGAGTGTAAGACTTCTAACTCTTACACCGGTGTAAGAACATCCTGCCCCATATATATATATATATATATATATATATAGGAGAGAGATCATTTGACTCGAGAGTAAGACTTATAAGTCTTACTCTCTATCCTAACCGTTGATTTCCGTCCATCCAACGGTTATAATTTAAGAAGTTATATTAATTAATTAATTATTAATTATACTATTAATGACAACCGTTGATTTCCGTCCATCAACGGCTGGGATTTGGAGTAAGACTTAAAAGTCTTACTCTGGAGTCAAAAGAACCCTCCCCATATATATATATATATATATATATATATATATATATATATATATATATATATATATATATATATATATATAAAGCTAATGGTCTTACGATGAATCTGGCTTCCAGCGAGTCTCCTTAACGTGAAGACATGAATCAAATACGTGTCTCAATGAATGACCAGCTGGAAATAACGGGAGGAGGAGTCCCGGGGTGCCTCTCAAATGCGTATTCAAGAAATCACCATAAGAAAATAGCATGTGGAAATTGGTTTTCATTATTTAAAAGCAATAATACAGCCTTAGAAATAGACTAATTTCTTCTTGTTGTAATATTTGGTCAAAGACTCAAAATGAAATTACAATCTCATTATAAAAAAAAATAATTATAATATAGCAACTTTAAAATTTTACAACTCATAAAATTTAAAAGGATTCAATTTTGATGCTTATTATAAAACTGCGAGACTTTGACGATTGTGTCACGATTCCAAATATTATCTACTGGAATACCATGGGGCTGAAATTTTTTTCCAAACAGCAATGGCTTCATATACATTCGCAGTTATAGCGAGTATGATTTGTCACGTGGCACATTTTCTGAAGCCATCAAACTCATTGTCAGTTGCAACGACTTTGGTAGTCAAAGTAGTCAGTTTGTTTTCTGCAACAAGACACATGGCAGACAAACATAAATTCGTTGTCAGTGGCAGCGAGTAGAGTTTGACGTGTCAAAAAAGAACTCGTTGCCATTGACAGCGAGTTTATGTCTGTCAATCACGTGTAAGAAACTCGCCAGTAATCCTAGCGACCTTAGTGCTATATAAACCCCATCCTCATTCCCCATATCATACATCCCTCTGTTAAGAAAAATAAATTCTCTCATTTCTCCCGATTTGAAACATCCCCCCGTGTTTGTCAGTGTTATTTCTTCCTCCTATTTTTTTGTTTTAATTTTAAGAAAATGAGTGACAACAATGATTCAATAATTGTCATTGTGTATTGAAGATGTATGATGTAGCTACACAGAAAGAGTAATGACATGTTGTTACGGATATACGCAAGTCAACAAGAAAAAGAATAACTCCAGCGTGGAGGGAAGACTATGTTAGTTAGTTAGTTATATTCGGTTAGTTTGTTAGACAGTGGAGCCAATATAATAAAGCCACGTGGACAAATGAGTCCTGATTGTAATGGTAGAGAACATATAAATGCAACTCTCAGTTGTAAGAAAGGGTATCAATGAAATAAAACAAGTTTGTTCTTAATCTTTTCGTAGTTTCTCTCTGTTTCCTTCGATACTTTGTATCATTTGGTGCTTTCATCCCTGAACCCATTTTTTTCCGCCACGAAGATTTAGGAGGTAGCTGAGGATCTTCATTCCGAATTTCAGCGGGAAGTTCAGGCTACACATGTGGATGTGAATCAGAAATTAGAGTTATTGACTGAATCGATGTTAGCTTTGGATGTTCGATTGAGAGATTTCATCCATCAATCTCAACAACAAGCTTCACCTGTGAGTTCTAGTCATCCTTCAGCCGTGGAGAACAAGACGTTCTATGCTGAAGCTCCTGATCAGCGATTATTGAAATCTGTTAAGATGGAAATTCCATCTTTCAATGGATCAGAACCTAATAATTGAATTTTTAAGGCGGAGATGTATTTCAGTATGCAACAAATTCCTCCTCATTTGAAGGTTCAATTGGCTGGTTTGAAAATGGATGGTCAAGTTGCTCCTTGGTTTCAATGGATGTTTCAAACAGGAACCATAAATCAGTGGGAGGAATTCACGAAGGCAGTTAGTCAGAGATTCGGTGTCTCAACCTTTGTGTGTGTGTGCCATATGTCCAACAAGCAGGAAAAAATTTGATCGTTGCAGGCTGTAGTCGCTGCACCCCCTGCACCCCAACAACTTTGTCTCCGCATTGTACGTGTCAAACTTTTCAATGTTACAATCTATCCACTTTGACCACCAAAGTCGCTATAACTAGCAACGAGTTTAGTGGCCTCAGAAAACGTGTCACGTGACAAACCATACTTGCTCAACGAGTTTGGTACCGTAACAGTTTGACAAATTTTTTCAACCCTGTAGCATTCAAGTAAATAATATTGGAAATCGTGGCACAGTGGTCAAAGTCCCTAAAACTTTTTTATACTTTATAGTCAAATCATTAAATAAGTTTGACAATCACAATCATTAGTTAAAATTTAAATATTTTATTGATTGATGTCTCAATACAACATTCAAATGGAGATCATTTTCTGTACTCTAGGAGTATATACTCCTTAAAAAAATGAAAAAAATGTGAGACATTGGTGAAAATAAATATAAAGGCAATGGTAGTGTAAAAGTGTTATTTTTTATTATATTTGATAAAAATTGTATCGAGTACTCGATACAACGGGAGCACCCAAAATATTTTCGTTATACTGTAAGCATTTTTACATTAATATTGTATTGTATTAGTTTGGATTATGAAAACTTTGGAGTTTGGTCAATTGTTCTCTTGCTGTACCTCTTCAATAGTGCCATTGTTTAAGTTTTCTTTTAAAAAAAATAATAACTGTGAGATACTACTAAAAAAAATACTAATACAAAACTCTAAAAAAATTGTAAAAACTCAAATTAATAAAGATAATAGGTTCTAGTTTACCAAAAGAAAATGACAAGTATTAAATTCTATTTTAAATCATATATTAATGATAGTTCCTTTCTCGTTTATTATTATACACTTACTTTAATCAAAATTAAAGTAAGTAAAAAAAATATAAAGAGGAGTAAATAGAAGAAAATATAGATGAGAGAGAAAGGTAAAGAAATCATTGAAGCGGAATCGTCACGCGAGCAGAATCGGGCTGATAATGTGTTATAAAACAAAAATAATTAAAAGAAAATATAGAGATTAGAGAGAGATAAAGAAATATACTCTTCTTGTATTGTAGTGTATATTGAAGCCTTTGTATATGCCTCTATTGATAAGCTCACAAGACAAGATACAAATGTACACTAAAATAAACGACTATAATTGCACTTCTTCAGTGGTTACAATTTGTGAATAAATATCCAATCGTCATATTTTTTTAGATTAAAGATGATAGGTTTTAGTTTACCAAAAAAAAATAAAAATGACAAGTATTAAATTCTATTTTAAATCATATATTAATGTGCCTTTCTCTGTTTATTATTTTACACTTTTATCATATCACAAGTGTCGACGTTTACCCAATAAACTTAAAAGTCTTCTGCAATTGACCAGGGTTCTGACTTGTGAGTGAGTGAGTGAGTGAGGCAGAATAAGGATAGAAATGTTATATGAGGTCCTCTTTTGTTCATTCATAAACCATCCACGCAGTTACCAAACAGATAACATAAACATTAACATTACCAAACTTACAATTCTCTCTTCACTATCTCCATTTCTCCAACGATGGCAATTTCTTCAGCAGCAGCTACAACTTCCTCAAAGCTCATACACCCACATGCATCTTCATTCTCTTCCTCTTCCAATTCTAATTCTAACTCCACAATCTTTCGCTCCAACACTAACAACCACAAACTAACTCAACTCTACTCTTCTTTCCTCAACCCTTCCACCATCCTTCACCTCACACCCTCTACTTCCACCACCACCACCAACCACCACCGTTTCACTATTCGCGCCGCCAGGGGCAAATTCGAGCGCAAGAAGCCCCACGTCAACATCGGCACCATCGGCCACGTCGACCACGGCAAGACCACGCTCACCGCCGCCCTCACAATGGCCCTCGCCTCACTCGGCAACAGCGCCCCCAAAAAATACGACGAAATCGACGCCGCCCCGGAGGAGCGTGCTCGCGGCATCACCATCAACACCGCCACCGTCGAATACGAGACGGAGAACCGCCACTACGCCCACGTGGACTGTCCAGGCCACGCCGACTACGTCAAGAACATGATTACCGGCGCCGCCCAAATGGACGGCGCCATCCTTGTCGTCTCCGGCGCCGACGGACCCATGCCACAGACCAAGGAACATATCCTCCTCGCGAAACAAGTTGGGGTCCCAAACATGGTGGTTTTCCTCAACAAACAAGACCAGGTCGACGACGAGGAGCTTCTTCAGCTCGTGGAGCTTGAGGTTCGCGAGCTTCTCTCCTCGTACGAGTTCCCCGGCGACGACATACCCATTGTTTCCGGTTCCGCTCTCTTGGCTTTGGAGGCTCTTATGGCAAACCCTTCAATCAAACGCGGCGATAACGAATGGGTCGATAAGATTTACGAGCTCATGGACTCTGTTGATAGCTACATTCCCATTCCTCAGCGCCAAACCGACCTACCCTTTTTGCTCGCCGTCGAGGACGTGTTTTCCATCACCGGCCGTGGAACCGTGGCCACCGGTCGTGTCGAGAGAGGCACAGTTAAGGTTGGAGACACAGTTGATGTTGTTGGTTTGAGGGAAACTAGGAATACAACTGTGACTGGTGTGGAAATGTTCCAGAAGATTCTGGATGATGCTATGGCTGGGGATAATGTTGGGTTGTTGCTTAGGGGTATTCAGAAGGCTGATATAAATAGAGGGATGGTTTTGGCAAAGCCTGGAACTATTACTCCACACACTAAGTTCAGTGCAATTGTTTATGTTTTGAAGAAGGAGGAAGGTGGGAGACACTCACCTTTCTTTGCAGGGTATAGGCCTCAATTCTATATGAGAACCACTGATGTTACTGGTAGAGTGGCTTCCATTATGAATGATAAGGATGAGGAGTCTAAGATGGTGATGCCTGGTGACCGTGTTAAGATGGTGGTTGAACTTATTATGCCTATTGCTTGTGAACAAGGTATGAGGTTTGCTATTAGGGAAGGAGGGAAGACTGTTGGAGCTGGTGTTATCCAATCTATCATTGAGTGATTTTGTTTCTATCCAATCCTACTAGAACTAGAACAATCACTCTCTTAAAATGGTTTTATGCAATTAATTAATTTTTTGCCATTTTATACAACATCTGTCATATCATATCCCCCCATTTGTTATATTTTGTAGGGTTTGAGATTATGTTTAGTCAAGTTGGATAATTATATTTTCCCAAATGCTTTTGTTGCTATTTCTTCCTTCTCTTTTACTTTTGAGCTACTTGGGCAAGATTCCTTGAAAGAATTGCATCAAAAGATGAGATTCATATTGAAGGATGAGCAGTTTTTCTCTTTATTAGACTTGGTGTTCTTGTAATCTGCAATCATGCGACTATTAAAACTACGTGGATGCCCATTTCAAATGTATATATGAAAATGGAAAGCAATAAAGAAGATGAAAATCCAAGCAAAATGATGTTTAGTATTGAAAATATATCGAACTTTATTGAATTCTTCCTCAGACAGTTGATGTCCATGCCTCTTCCTTTCATGTGTTACAAGTCTGTGCTGAACTTTTATACTGAATGTTACAGGTTTTTTATTGAAAAATATATATGCAAAAGTTGAGTTAACTAAGTTATTATCTCGGTAGGCTAATTATAATTAGATTAAGATATGAAAACAAGTTACATGTTCTCCTCTTCTCCACATACAGATCAGAGGGCCTTATTTTGCTGTGGGCAGTAATGCCTCCTGAATCCTGATCACATTCTTATCCAGAGTCTATAGAAGATGATTCCTTGCCTGGTGTATCTAAGATATTGCATGACACAATAAAAGAAAGAGATATTGCTTGACTGAAAATTGTAGGAGATAATCCTAGCCAGTTCTCTTGTCCTTTTTTGTGCTTGTGTGTTTTTTTATAGTTATGAAAGTAGCTTGTTTCAGATTAAATTTAGATTGATTACTTCTCTTCCATCTTATCTGTTAATACCATTTCCATTCGAAGCAGAAAAGGCCTTAGTTAGATTATCATATAATATGGAAATCCCGTATCTTCTCTGATCTTTCAGATGCTTGACCAATTTACTTTGGTTAACAAGGGAAAGGGAATAGGAAATGGAAAGAAGTTCAACTGGTAGCTATAAAAGTTGCTTCTGAATTTCTCTTTGCTGAAGGTAGTCACAGGTAAGCAACTGGCCTGAAACTAAAGGCTCAATACTTCCAAACGATGATAGTTCAGTTGACGCATAAGAGCTGAGCAGGTAGGGATGAGAGCATATATTCGATCCTTTCCAATACCATCTTTGAGAGGAGTTTATAGTCTTAATCTTGGACCCGCTCTGAACAGGATTGTCTCCTGTGGAAGATACACTTGGTTTATCCAAAATAAAAAGCTCAATACCAAGCCAGGTGCATCCTGCGCAGCGGAAAGCCCTTCTGTTTAATTCCATCCATGTTGTTTTTGGGAAGCTGTGATCTCTTTAACTTGGACTTGTGATTAGTCATTTGCGGATACACAATGGTTGAAATCCTTTCCCTTTCCCTTTCCCAGTGTAATCAGTTACAACTCTATATGCTGCAAATTAAAAAGGCATTGTCTAAACATAAATGTGAACGATACACGCTAACTTAGCCATGATAGTAACCTAGTGAAGACTGGAATCATTTTAATAATGGATGTGAAGATCTAAAATTGTTGTATTTCAGTTTTGATACTGGTTTTGAGTTTTGACAGCTGCCCAAAAAGGAAAAAAAAAAAAAGAGAGGAGTAAAATCCCTCTCTACGTGCATATACTCGATATCTCTCTCACTTCTTTTCCATAGTGCCAAAAAAAAAAATTGCTATCTCCATGAATGTTTGTTACCAAAGAAAGTGAAACAACCTAATTTAATTTTCAGATAAGAGTTGGTTTTTGGTTATTTTCCGGTTCCATTGTGGATCCTTATAAAATTGATCAATTCCACACTTACAATCGCGGACTCTCATAGAGCAACATTAGTTGCAAATCACTTTAACCCTGTTGCAATGTCTTAAAAACCAAACAAAGACACTCAAGGGGGTAGGTACGACCACAGTGCTTGGTGCTTAAAAATGATTGTTTGAACTCCAAGGTCGAGTTTAAAACCCTAAGCCCAAAATCCACTCTTTAAATAAGCATTCTTGGGAAGACATTTGACGTTCAGGATCGAAATTGCACAAGCAATGTATATCTCCAAAAACCAAATAAAGACTAGTCAATTCTATTGTTCAGATGATGAACTGAATATGTTTTCGGTTAAATTACTCAGGGGTAATGCCAATTTTCGATTCGATTTTTAAAACATTGATAATGTAAAGATGTGAATCAAGAATCATTCATGACATGTTGATAATAAAGTAATTTAAAGCATAAGCTTCTATATAGAAGTAAAATATTCAATAAATAGTTCAATAACTCATGGCCACAAAAGGAGGCAACCATCCAGTTTACTACCTTTAAGAACACCCAATGCATAGATTAGTTATCCAAAACTCATGCATCACATTAAAAACCATGCCTGTTTTTACGAGCATCAAGGCTATCTGAAAATGTACGCAGCTTCTAGCAATGCATGACTGTGTCTGAAAATTCTAAGACTATATTTCCTAGAATAGAGTTGATAATACCAACTCTTGAACAAAAGATGCCCTCTGCCTTCTCTCTTCATGATCCTCCTCATCACCCGTATCCAGTGCATCTGTCTCATAGCTGCAGACATAAATCCATCAGCAACGTTTCAACATTGGGTTTATGTAGAGACTTTCTATAAACCTTATTTATATCACTATTTTGAAAACAGGACACAACCATTGCTAAGTTCATAAAGCGTTAGATGTAGGATCCATACCATACCTTGATGATGTGTAAAAAGTCTTCATAATTCAATGCAAAAACAATATTACTAATCAATTTCAACTTTTAATACCTGTGCATTAGACTGAAACAAAATTCAAATAATTTCCATTTAGACTAAAATAATTGAAAACTATAACTAAAACTTGGGATACAGAAGATCATTATTTTTTCAGAGAAGTGAAATTGACCTCCTTCTGATAATATTACTAATCAGGACTAGCTAAACTAGTTTCAGAGGAAGATATGGAACATAGAGTCAACTGTCTGTATTCAACATTAGGTGAAACCACATAAATCAGAAAGGTCATTTAATTTTAACATTATGATAGAACTAGCAAAAGAATGCCTAAGTCATTTTGGTGGCATCATAAATATGCCCTACAGAATAATTTATAGCAATTTGAGCAGATGAATCACAATGAAAAACAAAGCTCTCTCTCTGTGTATGTGCGTGGGGAATATCTCAAAGCAGAATATAGTTGTCTTGTTTCCTATGCATGTAATGTCACATCATGAATAGAATGTAAATTATTGATAATCTACCAATGAATGAACTCCAAGTGATATATCTTGAAAATCCACAGATAATTCACAAATGTACCATAAATTGGGAATTAAAGGAACACCATCAGCTATTCAATTTCGCCATATCATAGGAAGCAATATTTTTATTTGATGTAGAGAACAATGAATGAGTTATTGTGACATAAAATTCAGATAGACTCCTTTGATACTAGTGAAATTAGTTATATTTCTACATTTATAACGTTTCCTAGAAGAGGAGATTAGCAAAGACTGCAAAGGAAAAAACAGTTGACGTTTAACTACATTCTTTTAAATGTGCTGCTCTTTGAACTATAAGTTTCTCAAGTTTTCTCTTTTTCTTTACACCAACTTACCACAATTACAAAATATAGATGGAAAAAAGGAATGTTACCTTTTTTCAACAGAAATGTCTGAGGTATCGCTGAAGGAATCTTCATCTGGGTGGATATCACTAGGGTTTGGAACAGGCACTGGTTCTTGTTTTTTAGTCCAAGCAGCAAGTTTCTCCTCAAGCGTTGTATAATTACCATACCATGTGCTGGATTTTGTAGGCTTCCAAGTCCGCTACAGAAGTATAGATCATTATATCAACATAGTCAATTTAGTTAGACAAGAATCAAATGCTCCTAAACCCAAAAGTGAGCAAGGTTACATTTAGAACATAAAAATTCAAAGAAAAGCAACAGATACCTTTCGTGAGCTTGAATGTGGTGCAACCTTGATTGCATCCTCCCCTAAATATTCATCACACACAGGACAAACCTGATAAAGGAACATTAAAAAAGTCAGTCAGATTTCAAATTTCAATTACAACTTACCTGCGTTAAATGTCTAAAGATGTCTTATTTCATTTTTCCATAGCTTTTTAAGTAAAATGGTTGCTGGATCACTTCATTCTTTTTTTTGTTATTCAGATCAGGCCAGTGCATCATTTCAAAAAGATACATAAAATTTCTGTTCAGTTTCATATACAACTGCATTTAAACAAGGAACAATCATTTATAAATTAGAACTAAGTCACTCGGAAGTTTACCTATCAATCAAGGAAAGTAGGAAAAAGAAACAAAGTCTAACAAATATGTAAACATATTAGTAATAACTTTTGCTAAACATAAAATTTTAAAATTCAGAACTGTCATACCATATTTTTTGGGTCATAGCATTGCACCTGTTCCAAACGGGTACGAAGCACAGGCATTTCAAGCTCAAAATCACAGGAAGGACATTGGAAAAGAGATTGGGCATCATCATCCTCGTCTGTGTTATTGTACACTGAATAATTTTCTGTGTGGTTTAAAAGGGATCGGTGTCAGTAAGCTATTTCTGGCACAAGAACTCCATTTTGCATGCCATAAAAGGTATTCTCAAAAGAAAAGAGCAATGGGAAAATACATAAACTGTATGTTATTCACTAATACAAATGCACAATCTCAAAAAAAAAAAAAAAAAAACCAACGAGAAGGAAAAAGAAAGCTGCTATGTGCTCTTTAAGGTAGGTTTGGGAGTTAGGAGGGGAAGGTTAAGGGAAGAGAATTGAAGATTATGCAATAAGCTTCCTTTCCCTTATTTGGATGTTTAAATCATTCAAAGTTCTCTAATTTAGGGGAACTTTTTGTTCATAAAAATAAAAAGTATTTTTAAAAAACCCAAAACAAGGGGAAGGTCTAATTATTCCCCTCCCTTTTCCCCCAATTTTCTCCCTTTTCTTCCCTCCTCCTCCATCCAAACATACTAGAAACTTCCAAGGCACATGCAAATCTCAGGACAGCCCTAGGCTATAAGTAAAGCTTTGCCATATGATCAGAATCTCAGATCTACTCAGCAAAATACTAAATGTCAAGACATTCATGTACAAGAAAATTGATAAATCAGAATCTATTAATCTGGCTTTATTTCTAAGGCACCAACATTTTTTACTTTTGTTATACCCCTATAAAGCAGGGGGAAAAAAAAGCGCTTTCACACACACACAATTCAAGATTAAAAATAAAATAAAAAATCAATTTCACCCTCACCAGAATTAGGGTAATCTGCTTCTGTTCTATCAACTTCATACCCAATACCATATTTTGCAGCCCCCCAATTTTCATTCTCTCTCTGACTATGCAAGTCTTTTTCTCGGTTGATGTTGGTCAATTCCAAACGGAGCCTACTGAGATTTCTCATAAAGGATTCATCTTCAGGAAATTCATTTTGTGAATTGCTCTCCTTTTCAGTGCAATTGGTCATCATATTACAATTCACTATCACACACACACACACACAAAAAAGGAACCTTTTTTCTATCCCTTTGAAGGCTTTGGAGGCACTAGTTATATAGAAAATGATCTACCAGTGAGTGAACGAGCTTGTATGGTAAGAGAAGCACACACGGAAGGTTAATAGAAGCTCTCCTGGGTAGCTTTTATTAATCCTAATTAAGTCGAACTTCCCATAAACGGTACCTCCAATTCATTTCTGATTAAATTAAGCAAAGAAATTCCCATCACCCTTAAAGCCAGACTATATCTTCGTTGTCACTTGCATCAGCCATGAAATGTACACAAAATTCAAACGAAACGGATACATACAAACGAGGTCCTACACTTGGAACATAGCTCATTGGTAAAATAAACCTTAATCAATGAATATTTTTTTTTTTTTCAAATTTAATCTCTTCTGACATGTAATAACTAAGCTCATAAACGCATGCTCCTTAGTACAGGTGCTTGTTACAAGGAAACCGAAACATTTGACATCAAATATGCTAAACTATGCACACTGAGCTAACCCAAGTCACTCATAGCAAAAGTGGAGAAGGGCTTTCAGACAATTCATCAAAAAGTTAACATACAAGTAAAACTTAGGTTATGAAACTTCAACACAACCCAAATGCTTTAACAAGCCCAAGACTCAAAGAGGGGGGAAAAAAACATTGAAACAGAAATGCACAAGTGAAAAACAGTAAATGAAAAAGGGTAATGAAGCAAATAGGAAGAGGTACCAAAGTGAAGCCGAGCAGCATGGACAGAAGAGAGGTGATTGGCAGAATGAAGAGTAGAAGCCCTGAAATCCAAGTCCATGATGTTAGGGGGTTCTTCTTCTACCTGGGGATAAGGGTCAGAAAGTGATGGATTTTGTTGAGGCTTGAAGTCTCTGGATTCTCAAGGGAAACAGCGGAACTTGTTTTCCCATCAACATCATCATCATCAGCCATCACTTCATCAAGCTCAGATTGGTGTGGTCGTGTTTTGCTTACTCATTTCTTAGTCTTCTGACACTCCATTCTCAAACTCTTTTCTGTCACACAAAAAGATTGATTATTTATGTCTGACACGTGGCACTTTAACAACAAACAACCCCCCCTCCCTTCTTTTTTTCTTTTCTTATTCTCAAACTAAAAAATGTTACCATTTTTTTGCAAGTTTATTGTGCAGAGAGTTATGTTGTTACGATAATATAGAATATAGATCCGAGGAGAAGCATCGATTCCTTGACGCTACGTACTATGTAAGGGAATATAGTTTCTAATATTATATGGGATAAAATTATTTTATATATATAAAAAAAAGTTTAATTTATTTTTTAATATATATATATATATATATGAGATACTTTTGTCAATCTACACTGTCAAGTTTGGCTCATTTCAATTGATAGACCTCATTGATAACGATTGTAAATGAAGTTCTTTGCATAAAGTTACATGAAATCGTAACAAAGTTTGTGAGAGAATTTTTATCAAGCGGTCATTTGTTACTACAGAGTGACTTACGGCTAAAAATGAAGGATTTTATAAAAATTATGTTCTAACAAAAGTGATTGTGTAATGTTATAGTGATTTATTTTGCGTGCCTTAATTTTTTTTTGCTTTAAAAAGTGTGGACCTCACAAAATGTTATGTGTAAAAAACTTTTTGGTGTCATGTGACATAATAGATGCAAATCCCAAAAATAAAACTCAATATTTCGTACATGGAGTTATGAAAAAATTTCGAATGTTTACTGCTTTCTATTGAGTAGTCATTTGTCCATTGGGTGTCTAACAATATTAAATAAACTTCTATGTATAAAGTTCCTTGAAATTAGAAAGAATCTTGTAAATGACAATTGCTTTTGATTTCATGTAGTAGACGATAAATATATTTATTATTTATTTATTTTTCCCTCTTATACACTTAAAACTAAAATGTTATAACCCATAGTATTAATAAAGTAAACAAGTAAATTCGTATATTCATTATATTTATATTTTTGAAATGATTATATTCATGCGTTTAACAAATAAATTAACAAATGATATATGGACATAAATATAAAATATTAGAGTAAATAACTATTACTTCCCTTATATTTAGTCATTGTACAATTTTTTTCTCTGCACAAATCTCCTTTGAGGTAAGTTACTAATACTATAAATTATGTGATTAAAAATTTCCAAATTTGTCTATAGGATTAATTATTTAGACATTTTTAAAATAAATGAAATTATGGAAATTGTTATTGTGTCAAAAAGTTATATTATACATTTATACTCAAACTAGTAAACATTTATAAGATGGCTCATTCTATGTGCTCTGTCAAAAATTAGAACTCATCTAATAGATTCACCAAATCTCTTGTTTAATTAATTATTTAAGAAGTTATTTTATTACATATTAAAACAATTATGCAAATTGATAGATAAAGTAAAATAAATGTTACTATAACTTTCAAGTTGTCTCATCTTTTTAGAAGACACCTACCCCCTTAATAGGGATTTTTGGGCTGAAAATCCTAACCTATATGTTGCACACTTGAACTTCTCCCCAGGGACGTAATATCTAGCCATTTGGGCCGGGGATTTTGGGCTTACATGGATCTAAAGTTAATAGCTATACTTGAAAGGATAATTCTTCGGCGCGACAAAGGGACACAAGTCACAACTAATAAATGGCCAAATCTATAACTTCTGCACTTCAAAACTAAATTATTTGATCCCATATGATGCGTTGTGAGCAGTATTATTAAACTCGATGTGGGCATCGACTCGGAACTCGATGTGGGCATCGACTCGATTGAGATACTGGATCATTGGTCGGATTAGTGGATCACTAGTTGGACTGATTGACCCGGATATATATAAATATATAAAAAATATATATAAATATGAACATATAAATTCAATTATATTTTCTATATCTAAAATGAATTAAACAAAGTTCACTAAATAAGTTCAAAAACATGAAGTATAAATAAATAAAAATGTACGCTATTACTATGTCAATTTAAATTGCAACTCAGAATCTCCATAAACATACTTCTCAATAAACATTGAACTCATATTTTTTAAATTCAACTACATAAAAATGACATGTCACATTCTCTTAATTTATTATTCAACAAATTGCTTCAGTATTGGAAGCTGAAATTTGAGGTCAATGTAGAAGAGTATACTAGCAAATAAAATTACAAAAAGATTTTAAAATGAGTTCTACATTTTTTGCTGACAAGATGAAACGATTTTTATTTTTTGATTATTTTTTTAAATGCATGACCCGACTGGGTCACTAATCACCGAGTTACCGGTTTTGATCGGGTTTGACCGGGTCGATGCATGACTGGTCCAATGCTTAACCCGAACCGATCCAATGACCGGTTCACCGGGTTCTAGGTCGGGCCGGATTTTACAACAGTGATTGTGAGCGTGCATATATCTTTAGCTAATAGCTATAGCTGAAAGCACTATTGTAGAATCTGGCTTGACTCGAAATTCGACGAACCGGTCATCAGACCGGCTCGGGTCAAGCATTGAATCGATCATGCATCGACCCGGTCAAAATCAGCCAAACCCGGTGACCGAGTGACCCGTGACCCAGTCGGGTCATGTATTTTTTAAAATAAAATAAAAACCAAAAAACCAAAACTGTTTCATCTCATTAGAAAGAAAATATAAAACTCATTTTAAATTTTTTTTGTAATTTTATTTGCTAGTATACTCTTCCAATACTGAAGCAATTTGTGGAATAATAAATTAGAGAATGTGACATATGACATTTTAATGTAGTTGAATTTGAAAAATATGAGTTTGATGTCATTGAGAGATATGTTTATAGGGATTCTGAGTTGCAATTTAAATTGGCATAGTAATAGCGTGTTTTTTATTTATTTATGCTTCATGTATTTGAGCTTATTTAGTGAACCTTGTTTAATTCATTTTAAATATAGAGAATATAATTGAATTTATATGTTCATATTTATATATATTTTTATATATCTATATATATTCGGATCAACCGGTCCGACTAGTGACCCACCGATCCGACTAGTGACCCAGTACCCCGATCGGGTTGATGCCCGAGTCGGGTTTAACAACACTGGCTGAAAGGATAATTCTTTATTGCCAGTTAGTGGTATAGATTTCATAATTAATAAGTAGCCAAATCTAAAGTTTATGCACTTGAAGTTAAAATCATATAATCCGATATGATAAGTTAGGTAATATAATTAGATAGTTCTTTTGATTGCAGCAAGTGTGTCACTTGTGACACATTAAATTAGTAGCAAATCATAGCAAATTAGTAATAAACCAGGAAATATAAATTTATTTTTATTGGTTTCATGACCCTAATTACTCTTTTGGGTCCCATGATTTATGTATGAAAAGAGACCCAGATATAAGACTAATTCCCAACCAAGCGACGTAATAATTATTCAATTTTAACTCTAAAAGTACTTTCGTGACCAAAATAATAAGAAAATAAAAATTTTTTTATATTTTTTTAGTAATCTGTAGGGAAAAAACACCCCCACAGAGACTAAATTAAACTATTGCTTGCGAAAATTACAAATAAAAGAAAAATCAGCCATATAAAGTGGCCAAATAGCGAGAGGGGTTAGGAAAAATACGGAAATTATCCTTCATAGGATAGTCTAGTGAATACTTGAAGAATCAATCCGCACAAACATTACTTTTGCTGTGGAGGTAATAACAGAACTAAAATCACTTTCTAAAACAGTGCGCCTCCTTTCTCCATCCAAAGCAAATTCTAATCCTTTCAAAATACTTCATAATTCAACAATAAAGGCTGAACATTGGTCAATAAAGCCTTGAATCCAATAACCTGATTCATTTCTAATGATACAACCACAAGCTGAACCACCAACGACATTTATGGTTGCTCCATCTATATTAACTTTTATCTATCTAATATTTGGAGTATGGGTGTTCATCAACCGATCCAAACTGATTCAAACCGCGGTGACCGAACCGAAAAACCGATAACCGAATAAATCAAAAACCGAAAAATCGCAAATCGATTAAAAATCGCAAATTTTAATTGGATTGGATCGGTTTTTGGATGGGTTGATGAAAACCGATCCAATCCAAACCGATCCAATATATTAATTTCCCTCTACCTACTTGGGTATTTCCCTAATCATAGCCTAAAGATTTCTAAACCCAAGACCCATTAACCCATCAACTAAACCCAAAAAAAATCTAATCATATCTCATCAACAAAATTTTATCTTTGTAGAGCTTCATATCTCATTGCCAAAATTAAAAAAATTATATTATAGTTTACTAATGCTTTTGTATTTCAAAAAAAAAAAATTACAAAGCCAATATATACAAAAGATGTTATTTGCACAATAATCATGAAATAAATTTTAGGATTTTCAAAAAACCGAAAACCGATCCAATCCAAACCGAAAAAAATTGGATTGGATCGGATTGGATTTGAAAAAAAAATCAAAACCGAATGGATGATTATATGATCAAACCGAAGGGATTAGATCGGATGGTTTTTGCTTCTAAAACCGATCCAATTCAGACCGTGAACACCCCTAATTTGGAGGAGTTCAGCAGATAAAAATATAAGCATGATCGTTTCTGGGAGTCACCCATTTGCTATCAAATTTAATTAAAAGTAAGAATTTTAATTAGTCTGATTTTTGCTATCAATTTGAAAATAAAAATATTATTTTAAATAGAATCACCAATTACAAATGAAAAGATTTTATGTAAAATAAAATGACAGGTTTAATAAAAAAAAAATTTGTAAGTAAAATAAATTATTTTATTTGTAACATTCGAAACAGACACTAATTAAGTATCAATAAATAAAATCTGAAAATGGTGCGCCAAATACAGAGACAGATTTCCCATTTACCTTGAAATCTGTGTCCAAATTGACACTTTAGTTTCTAGTCACCGTTAAGGTGATAATGAAAATCGGTGAAAAAAAAAGACACAAATGATTACAATGATAAAACTTAGCTTTACCATGTTTTGAGTATAGGATATGTATCTCGTGGCTGGAGCCTGCCCAGGATTCAGT